GGTAGTTGGCAGCCGGGTTGAGCGGAATATCCGTAACCTTCCTTGTTTGCGTGAGTAATGGCAAGTTCCGCGAGGTTATTGATTCCACTCCGACGAACCTCTTGGTTCGCACTTTGTGTGATCGGTTTCTCACGAGTCATCCGCATCAGACCCGAGGTGTTGATCACTTCGGGAGTGGAAGGTTCAATGAATTTAGGTGCATTCTCGAGAGGATCCACCCGATCCGGCAACTTTTCATTCGGTGACAACGGCTCAATAGGAGACGGATCAAACCATGGTTTGGGCGACTGGGAAGGTGACGACTGAGGCTGTATGATATTACAAATGTTGTGAAGGGACAAAAGGTTGCTCGATTGGCTCTGTGGGGTTTGGAGCTGGGTGTTATTTAACGCTTTTGTGTCTCGTGGGGAAGAGCTGGGAGAGGAGAAAATGGGGGTCAGGGGTTCCTTTTTGTGCAGAATCTTTACGTCCGACATCGTCAGGAGAGTGTTCAACTTCGACGGTAACCTTGAAACTTTTGTAACTATTTTGAGAATGGACGTTATTAGTGTGAAAAAAATAACGCATGCCAGATGGGGGATGGGAGATTTACATTTTGCGCCTTTGCACTTTGATGTGACAAAAGAAATACCGTAGAATCTATGAACAATTGACTAATGAATCATCGGCGAAAGTGGATAAAAATTAGAGAGGGTGCGGTTGATGTAAAATGACGAGTTGTTATCATCGAACATATCGAAAAATTAAAATTAAAATAAAAATAAATAAAAGGTAGAGCGAAAGATAACGTTTCTGATGACAACTGAAATCACTTCACGAACGTATTATTCTATCAAGGTATTGGAAGGAAAAAGTTTCGGAAAAAAAAAAAAAAACAATGATAATTTCTTTAACTGATGAGTGATGCCTTAGGTGATCAGAGAGAAAAGTGGATCAAGTACTCACTTTCTTTTCTTTTCTTTTTTCGCGTTTACTTACGACAAATTACTTTTTGTAAATTTTCTTTTTTTTATTTGTGCGTGCCTGTCCCTTCTGAACAAGAAGAGAGGATGCTCAAAGAGAAGAAGAATGCTCTAAAAAAGAAGGCAGGTTGAGGCTAAATTTGAGGTTAGTTGTCATGGTCGTTTATTTATATTAAATTTTTTTTCAGCTTCATCATGACATTCCGCAATATATACATAAATATAAAGAAATTTTGATGTATAATCAAATATTAAAAAGTTTTATTGAAATGATTTGTAATCAATCAATATATCAATCATTCTGAGTTTAAAGTGTCAAAGTAAAAGTATTAACGAGAGGGATTCCTATACCACACTGATAACGCGAACTTTATAACATAAAAAGATCAATGTTTCTCCATGAGTTAGGGATTGAAATTGATCATTAGGAGTCAGGGACAATGACTTCATTAAAATCAATCAACACGATAACGAAAAAAAAAAAAGCAATCAAATCATCATTGGATTGATTTGATGAGAGTTGTGATGGGAGAAATGAAATAACGATGACTCTTTGTGACGACGGAGTTTCACGTTCGATGATTGCCCGCTTGATGCTCACGCGATCATCCGGATTTCACAAGTTGTCACAATGAATAACAAACGTTTGCCTACGGAACCGTATAATGTCACGCATCGATCGTGCTTTAGGCTCAGCGTATCGATTCAAAACTGATCATATAATTTATCTGTATACGCAAAATTGGCCATCTTTCCAATAATCAAATCTCCAATCAGGGCATAAAAAAAGAAAAAAAAAACGAGAATTCTTTAAAGAAAATAAGAAAAAAAAAATTTTTTTTTTTTCTCTATTCGTTCGCGAATTTATGTTCTAGCAATATCAAGGCAATAATGGTTTGCGTAGATGTGAATATTTTCGATGTGATCCCCTAAAGAAAACAAATTTCCCTGGCGGTTAATGTAATGCGATAGTTCATACTCTGTTGAGTATGATTCGGGCTTCAAATTAATATCTAATATTAAAATTTATCATCGATGATCACTTTCCTTGAGGAAAATAGTGCGTGTATAATTTGAATTTAATTAGAATTGCGTTCTGTTCTTTTGGAGGCTCGTTTAATATTATTTTAAAAATGGTTACATCGAATTCGGTTGATTGCTTTTTCGGGAAACCGGAGATAATCATTGTTCGTATTCGTTGCGTCGCACGACAAACAAAATCATATCAATAGACCAAAATTAGAAGCTCCTATTTCCGTAATTTTTTTTTTTTTTTGATGGAAACACGGATTGTGATTGACCAATCGGAATCAAAATAACTTCATTCATTTTTTTTTTTTTTAAGTTGTCCATACGCGCGTCCACTTAACGTTTGTGATGACTATAACAATCTTTAAGATATCAAGGCACTCTTGAAACAATTAATTGAACATGATCAAATCAAAAGAACAGATTGAGCATTTTTAGGTCTGGCAAATAAACTTGACAAACGGGAAACATCAAAAATGAAGGACGATGCTTTGATTTGAGTTTAATCATTCTTGGATAAAATAAAATAAAAAATAAATAACGAATAATTAATAATAGGCGCAAAATTATGTGTCGTAATGATGGAATCCCTAATTATTTATTACTGTTTATGTACAGTATATACGGTATACAATATAATAGTATAGTATACGAGAATAATAGATACGTAGCAACAGACTGTTATTACTATTGTTCGGGTGATGATTGCTGTAGTCACGCTGATTAAAATTAAATCACAAGGTACCATATGTAACTAATTACCTTTGAGACAGGCTCATATCACAAACTTATATAATTAATGTTGGGGAAAACTGCACTTTGCATCAAGAAAAAAAAACAGGAGCACAACCAAATCACCATAATGAATCGATTAAATAAAGGTACCTTTGATGATTCAGTTGGTCCATCTATTTATTACTGGCCCGCAAAAATCGAGGTGGCTGTATGTACTGTAAATCGGATCGGTTTATGTTTTGCGGCGCCGCCAAACTCATCGCGTGATCTGCATGGGGGTCTCCCGTTTAGGGTTGCGTCACAATATACTGTACTCAAAATTACATGGCAAAAAAAAAATTTTTTTTTTAATTTGCTTTGTAAAACAATATCGTTCAGTTGTAGCAATATGCAAAAAAGACCTAATTAAGGAAACTAAAAAATTCATAATTGTTTTTAAGAATAAGTATTAGTAAAATAGATAAAATATTGATTGTTCTTGACAACAAAATAATTTTTCATTATAAAAAGGATTATAAAGTTCAAAAATATTTATCAAAGACATAAAAAGATTCCAATTTAATAAATGATTTACATAGGAAATAATTAAATTTGCAATATTATAGAAATAAAATTTGAATATGATAAATTTTATTTAATAAATAGATTATCAATAATATTCAGATTTGTATATTCAGTTAGATATTGTTTTTTTTTTTTTTTTTGTTTATTTTTTAAATAAAATTAAAAATTAATAAAAATTTTATAATATTATATAATATTATTAAATTAAATAATAGCAAAAAAATATTAAATCACTATTATATAACTCACAAAATATAAATAAAAGAATTTTTTTAATATAAAATATTATAAGTCTATTTATTTATTTATTTTTTTTTTTTAAAACCCTTGACTAGGCCAGTACTGTGTGTTTATTAATCATATGAAAACCGATTGAGATACATAGAGCAATTGCATCGTGGCTAAACTAAAAGCTCGTACTGACACACTCATCAACAGCCATCAATTCTCAAAAGAGCTTTGGCCTCTAAGTACAACCTTGGGGACAATATTTTGCTCTGAACTAAGTTTTGGGTGAAGACCCTCCTAACCTGTCCATCATTGCTAGCAGGTTGTCACTGTTTATTATCCTTCAAGAAACTGAATTCAAGAAACTACAAAAGGGAAAGGGAAAAATAATAGGAAAGAAATATCTATGAATGCACAACTGTGCTACATGAAATGAAAAGAAAAGAAAAAAATAAAAGTGCTCCATGTCCTCCAAAGGACCTCTGCTAGAAACCTCTTCTCATTAGGAGTCAACCCTTCTGGAATATCCTTCTTCTTCCTGACCGTCTGAGGAACTTATCCATCTGTGCTCTTGATTATTTTCTTGCAACCGTCTGAGGTACTTATTGCCTACTCGGATCCAGTGTCTTGCTCAACGCTTCCTTTCTTTTGGTCTTGATTTTATATCCACCCGCGCAGAAGAAGATGGCTAACGGTGGACCCCAGGTTCTTATGTAGCTTTTTAGTCTTATTGAGTAACTCCCGATATCTTCCAGCAGCCACGCCTAGTTAAAGGAATTTTACTGGTGTTCATCTTGATTGCGATATCATTACACAACATCTGGGGAAATGCA